TTTAGAGCTCTTAATGTTAGGTGGTTGTTATCACCTATGATCTTTATTAACCGGGAGGCTTCAGGCGTTTTTTTCACATTACTGCAAAAATTTTGCCTACCTTCCCGTTTATGCTTTGTTAGAAATCTTTTATAGATAATAGAAGTGGCACAATAGTAATCCCAATCTTCTTTTTGTCTTGTTTTATGAGCTTTATTATAGGCTCTCCTGATGGCTTTTTGTAGCTTGGTCAGTTCATTAGACCACCACCTAACTTTTTTCCTTGGTTCTGTTCTCAAAGGGCAAGCCTCCTCATATGCTGCCAAAATGGTAGTCTCAAGGAGGCTGGCCTCTTTATCTATATAGTTTCTTGAGTAAAGCCTATCCTCCCCATGGGTTATTAGGCTTTCCAGTTGTTTCTTGGATTTCTTTTCAGGAGAGCGACGGGCTGGTTTGACTCAAACTCAAATGTGGTCAGACAGTGTAATGTCTGAGGTGACGTCTAAGACCTCACTTCTATTCTTTGTTATAAAGGTGGGCTCACTACCTTTATTTAAGATCTCCAAGTCCGTTTAGGCTATATATTCTAACAAAGTTTCGCCTCACTCATTAGTGTCTGTACTACCCCACATATGGTGATGGGCATGGTCTAAATCATGAGGTATATAAATAGATCCAATTATCATTTTAATCTTTGTAATGCCTACCTTGATAGTCTGGTCACCAACTGTCACTAATACATCGTCCGAACTATTACACTGGGCTGATAGAGCAGTCACTCCTTCCTGGTTAGGAGGTGCAGGCTCCTGTACTATTCCAGCGGCTGGGGTGTGCCATCCCTCGTTTCCATCTGTACCCTCTGAACAATCTTGCCCGGGCGGGCTCAACCATTGTGCTCCTTCCCCAGGAACAGGAGTGACCTTTGTGAGTTATGTGTTCTGTAATTGGGTGTAGTAATGAGCAGTGCTCCTCCAGTTGCTAACCTAGACAAGCACGCACCACGCCTGGCACTGGGTTCAGGTGAGGAGGAAATCCCCTTTAACAGCCTGACCTGCTTCCCTTCCGGGGCATAGGGTAGGGGCTTCATAGGAAAGGTGATCCTATGGTGTGTACTGTAGATGTCCTTTGTGTTTGTGTGCTGTGGTAGTGTACTCTGTGGGTGTCAGTGTTATTGTTCCCCCAACCTGGAGGGCCAGTGGCTGATTGCGGCCATGTGACCGGGCGATGGGGCCGCCAACTCCCTACGCCTAATATATTTATAGTAATATTATTTATTAAACGAGAGACATTAGGGATTAGACACATCATTTTTGTTCACTGTTTACCAAAAAAAGATTGAATTTTGGTTTATTCATTTCAAATTTCCTTTCAGTCCATGTTTATCTTTCGTTTGCTTCAAGTCTGTTATCTCTTTTCTCTAGTCTAGTTAAAACAAATAATTTTATTCACAACGAATCGTTTAAGCCACGATGATTCGGTCAGATTCATCGCTCTCTCTGAAGAAGTCAAGTCATTCTGTTACATCACTAATTGCCTGGGAATTCACTATTCTTCCGTTTCAAGGACCATAAAAAGGAGACTAGTAGGCATTCAAGGCGACCAACGTCAGCGTGTCCCAGGATTATTGATCCCATAAATGACCACTTCATTAAAATGCACGCTCTTCGGAAGCGTAATTCTGCAGCTTCTTCTATTAAAAACTTGATCGCTAGTGTTCGAGGGATATCGATCTTGAAATTAACGGTCATTAGAAGACTGAGAGAGTCAAACCTCAGCTCAAGAAGACCAGTGAAAAGTCCTCTTCTCACCGCAGAACACCGTGTAAAGAGATTGAGATTTGCAAGGAAACACCAATCTTGGACTGTGGATGAATGAAAAAAACTTTTATTTTATTAACTTATTCTGATAAGATGAGCGTGGCCCTTAACAGACCAGAAGACCGTGAAAGAGTTTGGAGAACGATATAGTCAGTGCTGCACATTAGTAATTGAGCCATTTGGGGGAGAGGGGTTCTGGGACAGCATCTTGGGAGGCACGTACTGAGTTTTTGCCAATCCAAGGAAGGGCCTTGAATGCTCTGAGGTATGTAGAAATTACTCTTCAAGATCATGTAGTGCCTCTTATGCCGTTCATAGGGTCTGTCTGAATCGTTGCTCATGCATGATAATGCACATCCTCACAAGGCAAGTTATGTTTCTGAGTACCTGAATACCACAAATATCCACACCATTGATTGGCCAGCAAGAAGTAAATGAAATGAAATGAAAAAATAATTTTATTCTGGGACTACTGTCCCCTAAGAATAATAACAGAGTTACAAATTTATGTATCTTAGTCTGACATAGTAAAAATACACACTAATTTATTGTTGATTGTTATTTCAATTGTGCAATGGATTGAAATTAAACATTGTATAGATGCAAGTAATTTTACATGTTAGGAGAAGTTTGAATGTGGAGTAGGTGTTGGAACAGGAGTTGTTTGAAGGAATTTGTGGATGAGGATTGACGCATGGAGGTAGGAAGTGAGTTCCATAAGGAAGCAGCACGAATGACAAAGGATTTGCTGAAGGAGGAAGTTTTATGGGAGGGAATATATAAGTCTATAGGTTGAGACCTAGTATTGAGAGAGTGGATAGAGGAGCGCAGAGTAAGGAGTTCCAGGATGTAGGGAGGGTTTTTGGTTCTAAAGACTTGGAAAAGGAAAACGCCAAGAAGGAATTGTCATCGGGAAGTAGGAAAAAGCCACTTCAACTCGGTGTACCATAGTGAAACATGTGAACGCCTGGGGATCCCGAAAATGTATTTTATGAAACAATTCATGAGTCTCATTTCCAGCCTGGCAGAAAGCCCTCCATACACCAAGTAGCCGTAGTCGAAGTGGGAGAATACAAAGGAGGTTACAAGGAGCTGTCTGGTTTTTAGAGGAATACAATCACGGAATCTTAGGAGTTGTTTAAGGGCAGTTGTGGATTTTCGGGTAATCTGGGAGATATGATTATCCCAGGAGAGGTTCTGGTCAAAGGTTATTCCTAGGTTTTTGACTGTAGGGAAAAAATGGATGGGATGGTTATTGAGGTAAAGTAGAGGAAAGTAAGGAAGGGAGCTGATGAGATGTCTGAACCCGATGATAATAGCCTTGGTTTTATCTGCATTCAGCTTTAATTCATTTATTTCTGCCCATCTGTTGATGCAGTCGATGTCCTCTTGTAGCCTCCGGCATCTGTTGGTTCTACGGCCTAAGGTTCTACAATTACTCAAAAACGGAAGTACTGACCTTAATCCAATCTAGCATGTTTGGGATTATCTCATAAGAAAGGTTCGGTCACGAGATTCACCTACTACTACTCTTGAGATGCATAGATGAAATGCTTAAGTATTGGATTAGTGGGACAATATACCCCAAGAGTTTAGGAACTTTTTCCTTATATACAGAACATAAACACATATGTGATATGTGAAGTAAATTGAAATATAACAATACTTTCTCGTAATACAAAAGATGAATAACAATGGGAACTTGTAAATAAAGTAGTGATTGAGTGCAATTTCAAAAAAACAAACACAAAACTATATTTTAACAAATTTTACAAAGCAGAGTTTTATAAAAATACACAATTTTCTAACTAATAATAATTAACATCTGTTTTTTTTTAAAAACAGCTGTTTTGCCTGAAATTATAAAATAATACACTTCACATTGTATTCAAACACAAAAAAAATCAAATGTTCATGGTTAACAAATTCCCGAACATCCTCCCACCTTGAGGAGTTTATAACTACTCAACAAACATTTCTAGAAATAATTACAAACAAATTATCTGAGCATAACCAGCATGTAAAACTCAAATTCTCTCCAACTGATGTGTGGGAACAGGTGCTTCTTCTCATCTTCCACAAACCAATCAGGCTAGTTCTCATTATTTAATGAGTATCTATTCCAAGCACCATCAATTAGGTCTCGCTTGGTGACCTGTGATGAAACCATCATGGCACCCAATGCTAACTGTTGTTCGTTAAGTTTTACTTTCTTCAGCTTACTATCTGTAGTTACAATTTCATAGCCTCCATCCTTTCCAGGAACTTTCTCCACTTTTGAGGGTGGTTGCTCAATTTCGAAATCAGAACCACAACCTGAAAAATTGTCATCGGAACCGTCACTCAACCCTTCATCACTATCAGTTTCAGCCTTCACTTTCGTCTGAGATTTTTCAGGTTTGATCTTGGCAATAGCTTGTTCTGTCGTCATTTTACTGATCAATTTGCCATTTCTTCCAACGCAAATTCTTCATCTTCGTCCTTCTCAAGCTCTTTAAAAACATCCTTCTCAAACCACAACTGTGCCTTGTGAACGCGCTTAGTCTCCTCATCCCTGGGATCCAAATCAGTTAGAAACGGATGATTTTCTTTCAGATCATCTTCATCATTATCATTGTCTTCTTCTGACTTCTTATCAGATGAAAATCTAACTTTTTTCTTTTCAGTTTTTATTTTCTTAATTGGTCTTGCCTCATCTTCTGATGAAGAAAAATCAGTATTTTCTTTATCACTACCATCTTCAGATTTTTCAGATTCAAATTCATCTGATGAATCCTTGTAGAACATTCCTGACTTATCCAAAATCTTCTTTTCCTTTTCAAAAGGAACATATGATGAGTGATAGGTTCCAAATTTCTCTTCTTCTATCTCTTTATTACTATGGGCTAAAATGTCCGGTTTCTGGTGATCAACTCTAATAAAGTCTAAACGCCAAAAATCTGATGCAGGCACATCTAGGGAGGTTACACTGTCCTTGCCAGTTGCACAGTAGTTTTCTTCCTCGGTCTTCCCCATCAGTGTCCAACCAAGATATGCTTCAACTGCAACAAGGCCACATTTCAGAATTTTTCGATTTCCTGTCAACAACTTTCCAGATATATCTGCACCCACAAGGATATCAATGTTACCATACTCTGTGTTTGTAAGAGAAATATTTAAAGTGTCCAATTCTTTGATCCAGGGTCCAGATCGATCGATAACAGGTTACTGTTCGCAAATTGTTTCTTTATCCAGAACCTCAAAATGACAAGCATAATCAGTAATAGCACTTGCCACTCTGACCTTGTAAATATTGTGATCTTCATGCTTTGATCTGTTGCCTCCAAACAATCCATGAACAATAGTTTGTAGACCAACAGGTTCATAACCTAAAAGAGAGACCATCCATTTACTGATATGTGACCTTTGCGAACCATCATCAAAAAATAAACGACAAGGGTATTCCTTTTTATCATTTTTTAACTTAACTTTCAAGGTTTTTAAATATATCTCTACTAAGAATGTTCGTCAAACATTGTTCCACTTTTGAACAGAGCTAACCGAGCTGTTCTCTGCATTTTGTCCATTTTGCTTTTCACATAATAATGTAACATGCTTACCTTTTCATAGCAGACATCTAATCGCAGCCTTACACTGCTTTTTCATGTGTCCTCTTCTTATACAGGAAAAACACTAACCTTTCTTTTTCAAAATATCTCTAATAGAATCAAGATTGAGGTCTTGTGCTTTAAAACAATTAAGAAAATCATGCCCTTTGTCACAAAAAACACAATTTTCTTTAAATCTAGTGACACTTACAAGGTCTGAAGAGGTTGGGATGTAATTTACCTTGGTGTCATGTTTCTTTATGTCTCTTGTAAAGGTCATCTTAGACTCGGAATCTGGAAAAACAGATTTCGCTAACAAGATCCTCTCCTCACTTTCCACTTCACCACGTAAAAATAGTAACAGATCATCCAAACCCTTCTCTATGTCAATTTTGTTCATTACCCTATACCTTTCCCAAAGTCTAAGAGTTGATTCTGGTAGCGCTGATTCAACCAAAGGTATAAGCATACATGAACATTTATCAGTGGTTACTCCTAAAGTGTCTAGAGACCTTAACTAACATTCTAGTTTGTCGTATAAAGAAGTGAGAGTCATAAAACTGACCCAAAAACTTATCCAATCACGTAGACTGCCATCATACTTTTTCAGCGCTAGTTTTGGTAACCTATAACTTTTCTAATTGGTTAATCTCGATTCTGATACATTGCTTGAGTCTTGTGTTCTTTTAATAGTTATTTTATCTTTCATAGAGGCAGCTGAAAGCCATTTTTCTTTATAAGTGTCTACCTCGTCAAATTCTTTTTCTATTAAACTATCATCCTCAACATGAGTAAACAAAAGTTCTTTTATCTGGGCGTCTAAACCAAAGAGTCTCTCGGCTTTGTCATTCAATTTCAAAAATGATGCTGAAATGTCATATAAGTCACAATCCTCTTCTTCGGACAATCGGATAAAATCATTGTAGCTTGAGGTAAATCTTTTCCGTACATTTATCCTCTCTCTTTTTAAATAATCGAATGCACTCATCTTATATTCAATGAATAAATTAACTACTTAGCCGTTCCCCGCAAGGAATGCCAGTGTTTCTCGTAATACAAAAGATGAATAACAATGGGAACTTGTAAATAAAGTAGTGATTGAGTGCAATTTCAAAAAAACAAACACAAAACTATATTTTAAAAATTTTACAAAGCAGAGTTTTATAAAAGTTTCTTATAAGAGTTACATACCAAAGTTTTATTTGGTATAGTTGATTGTTCCAAAAATTCTTAAATTTTTATCTAATCTTATAAATAGTGCCAATATTGGCATATGAAACCTTTAATAGTGTAATGTAGAGTCATATGGATCATCTTAGGGCACTAGTCATTAAATGTAAGCATATGTCAAGAAAAAATATGAAAATTGTATACCTAAAAGATTATTGTTCATGTAATTATTATCAAACAAAAAAAAAAATAGCCACTCAAAAATTAAACTATGAATCCACAACTGTCCTGGATTGATAATCGGTTCACCAATATTTTTCTTCTAAAAAGCACATAAACCCAAAAAGAAAATCTGAACTAAACCACCAATGAACTTTTTTAAAAAAAAAGGTTGTAAAAACGTAAAATTCTTTTATTAAATTCAAATAGTTCTACAAACTTCAAACATTGTTACACAACTTTGAAATTTCTTTAAGAGACAAAATACATATTAAGGATCCTAAAAATAAAATCTATAAAAAAAGGGCTACTCACGGTGAACACCATTTTTTCAGCTACAGCCTCAATTATTGTAATAATAAATGATATTAGAGCACTTAAAATAAATTGTATATATAATTTTTTTTCTTTTTACCTCTTGTTAATCTATGTTTCCTTCCAGCTTCATGAAAAGCAAAATATCCTCTAAAAAATGCCCTAACGATGGCCCATCGGTATACAGCAACGGCGTCAGCACCTACTAATTCTCGAACGAACGCCATATTGGAATTTTTCAACACACCGACAATTTCTTGACTCATCAGATCTAAATTTTTCTCCCTCATTTCATGAACCTGTAAAAAATAAAAACAAGCGTAATGTAATGAATTACTGTTAACTAAATATAAATTAATAATTTTTATGATGAACACTTTTATTATATTTGTAAATTTTTAGTGGGATAATTTTAAAATACTATTTAAATTTAGATTAAGGTTTTAATAAGACTATAATATCCCCACAACAATTTTATTTTTTTTAAATCATCAGAAATGAACTTTTTTTTTTTTTTTTAAATTTTTAAAAACAAATATGCTGCTCTATACAGTGTAAACTAGAAACAGTGGCCAAAGATAGGCAGAATTTTCACACAACACACAAAGCAGAAAAACACACAATTTTCTAACTAATAATAATTAACATCTGTTTTTTAAAAAACAGCTGTTTTGCCTGCAATTATAAAATAATACATTTCACATTGTATTCAATAGGCGTAGGGAAGTGGTGACCCCATCGCCCACTCACGTGACTGCAATCATCCACTGGTCCTCCAGGTTGGGGGAACAATAACCCTGACACTCAGACAGTATACCATATACAGCACACTACATACTCCACAAATTAACATTCAAAGGTCATCAACAGTACACACCCTAGGTAGCCGCCCCGGACGGAGGAGTGTGTCAGGATGCTCTAAGGAGGCAGCCCCTTCACCTGACTCAGGGGCAGAGTTTGGGCTGATAACCCCCTCCCCTTAAATTTAATTATTGTGAAGCCCGTACAGAGACAAGCCGGACTGAACCTAAGGCAACGACTCGTTACTCGTCTAATGGATTTTAAACTTGGAACATGGAACACTCTATCACTATACTGACCGGGAGCTCTAGATCAGCTCCTAACACAATTGAACCGATATAAAATAGACATAGCTGTGATCCAAGAAATAATGTGGACAGGCCAGGGAATATTTAACATGAAAAATCATACTATCTATTACAGCTGTCATGATCATCTGCATACCTATGGATCTGTTTGTAGAATTTCCTGATTTCATTTTGGCCCATTATGTTCTCTATCTCTTCCAGTTGTTTCGTTTCCCAGGTACTTTTCTTCCTCTGAAAGAGTCTTTTCTCTCCCCTTTGGGCTCGGTATTCTTCTACAGAAGTTCTAGTGTGTCTTCGTTGGACCATCTGCCGATAAGCTTTATTCTTAATAGTAGTGATCCTCTGACACTCCTCATCCTACCATCCTGCTTTCTGTGTAACTTCTTGACATCCAATTGTTTCATTTGTGACTTCCACTATTGCCTCCTTGCAACTACTCCATTGTTGGTTTAAATCTATGGATTCACTGAGGTTTCTTATCTTATGATTCATATGCCTAGAGAAGCTATCTCTCTTCTCATAATCTTTGAACACCTCCACGTTAAATCTGGCTTGTTGCATTCTTTGCTAGACTCACTCCATTGAAATTCGCGCTCCTTAGCCCACAATTTTCTCTTTCTGTATTATTCTAAAGGGACTCGTCCCAGAATAAATAAAGCATTATTATTATTATTATTATTACTTCTGCCAGCAAGATGAGTTAAAGTAACTCTCAATTATTGCCTGTATTTTGATGAATAATGTTATTTGAGGATCTTATACTGAAATTTAAATATAAATAAAACTTAATATGTGCTCAATTTCACCAAAGTTTTTCAAATTATGTTAATTTTAGGTGTCGAATTCGGAGCAAGAATGATTACAATTGATGGCAAACATATAAAATTACAGATCTGGGATACAGCTGGCCAAGAGGCTTTCCGTTCTATAACTCGTTCCTATTATAGGGGTGCTGCAGGTGCTTTATTAGTTTATGATATAACAAGACGTGAAACATTCAACCATTTAACTACTTGGTTAGATGATGCTAGACAACATTCAAACTCCAACATGGTGATAATGCTAATTGGAAATAAAAGGTATTCCTTAATTTTATTCAGAAGTTATTTAATGTTATTTAAAAATATAATAAAGTTGTTTAAAATTACTATTTAAATTAACTTGATGAGTATATGCATATTAAGTAAATTTATACTGTTATTATTTTATATTGTTATCTTATCTTTTTTTTTTTTCATCCTATTAAAGATAGGAATATGTCCTGTGCCTTTCAGTACATACTCAGCTTCTGTGTGAATTGAATCAATGAATTTCTTAACATCAGTAAACCCTTGTACCAGTACTGATATAACTGGTAGGAACTGGTAGAATGACAAGTGGTCCTTTTGTTCCTTTTGCGTAATCCTGACAGCTTCCTAGAGGTTGCTATCCTGAACTTACCATTGTGGAAGGGTTAATATTATTTTGGTAGACCATCAAATAAGCTAACTAGTGGATATAAGTGGACCACTATGAAATAAAGTGTCGAAAAACCCAACAAATAAAATCCAGCTCATAAAGTATTCATCTGCTAATAAATTTAAAAATTTGTTTCAACCAAACTTAGCATGGAATGTTATTTCTACTGATCCTAAAACTCTTACTAAGCACCTAATTAATTTGATGAAGTAATGAATTATGTTACAATAACTAACCTATCCAACTTACAATTAATTTATGTTTTAAACTATTTTCTTGTGTCTAAAAGATATGAAAATACATTTCTGGCTATTATAAAACCCTTACAAACGATTGCCAGAAGAGAAAATGTAATAGCTACTACATACTATAGCTACTAACATCACAAATCCTTCGTCAGATGGCCCATGATGTGACAATGACAAGTTAACTTAAAGTAAGATTAAATGGTGTTAATTATAATATATTATGTTTTTATATTGTAAGATTATATGTATACTTTAATTTGTTTTGTTTTATATATATATATATATATATATATATATATATATATATATATATATATATGTGTGTGTGTGTGTGTTTTAAATTTTATACCTTAGGTTTTGATTCCTCCGATATATAAAGAAAGATATGATTGGTAAACAATAAAATAATAACAACTATTATAAACTATTTTCTTGTTACCATAATTTTATCAATTGTGGTAATTTACAAAGTCATTCCTCCTCCTCCCCATCCTCATCCTTGTCTTTGCCATAAGGTATCTCTAAAAAAAATTGTTTTCCTAAATTATTGCTTCCCATTTCTTTTCCAGTTCCATTTGGGCACAAAAGGATAACTGAAGTTAAAACCCTGTAGGTTCAAAGAAATTTGCCTTCATAGAAAACCTTTTTATTTTATTTATTTATTTTTTTCAAAAATAAAGATATACATGTTTTGATACTATTTAAAAGTATTTCAAACAATATTTGTCTTTGAATTATTCACTAGAACAAATGTTGGTTACAGAAGCTATATATAGTGAATAGGAAATTTGACAAAAAAATGTTTGGTTATAGTTGATAATGGTTTTTTATTGATTTGTAATTAACAAAACAATTTTTATTTGGTTTAGTTAATTTAATTTTTGTCATAAGTAATATATCAAAGCGTATAAAAATACACCTTTTTATCAAACCAGACAGACCAAGATCCACCCAAATGGTAATGAAATGAAAAAATAATTTTATTCTGGGACTACTGTCCCCTAAGAATAATAACAGTAACAAATTTATGGATCTTAGTCTGACATAATAAAAATACTAACTAATTTACTGTTAATTGTTATTTCAATTTTGCAATAGATTGAAAATAAACATTGTACAGATGCAAGTAATTTTACATGTTAGGGGAAGTTTGAATGTGGAGTAGGTGTTGGAACAGGAGTTGTTTGAAGGAATTAGTGGACGAGGATTGACCCATGGAGGTAGGAAGTAAGTTCCATAAGGAAGCAGCACGAATGACGAAGGTTTTGCTGAAGGAGGAAGTTTTATGGGAGGGAATATAGGTTCTATAGGTCTATAGGTTGAGACCTAGTATTGAGAGAGTGGATAGAGGAGTGTAGAGTAAGAAGTTCCAGGATGTAGGGAGGGTTTTTGTTGAGATGTGGATAGAAAATGGTTAGTGAAAAAAGAATTTAGCCTGTTGGGATCGATTGGATATTGTGTGCAGGTTTTCGAGGTAACAACAGAGAGGTTCTTAAGGATTTTCCATTTGAATTTAGGGTTAGGTTCTTGGGATAAAACGTTGTTGAAGTATTGGGCTTTGGCGCGACGTAGGGTCATTTGTGTGAGATTGCGCAGGGATTTAAATGTGGAATAATACTGAGGTAGTCTAGTAAGTCTGTATCGTCTTCTAGCAGTTTTTCTTCTCCTCATTAGTTCTCTTATTTCTGTATTGATCCAAGGAGCGGGAGGACGTCTAAAGACACGTGTTTTTAGAGGTGCGTGACGATTGAGGAAATCGAGGAGGAAAGGCATTCAACCATATCATCGATGGAGGGGAGAGAATAGATGGGTTCTAAGTAAGTGAAAAGGGAATCGAGGAAGGGGCTGATTTTTTCAGTGGTTTAGGAATCAAGATCTCTCCAGGAAATTTGTTTGGGTTTAGATGAAGGAGTAGAGAAGTTGTATGTTATTTCAATAAGATCGTGGGATGAAAGGAAGGGAACCGGAATTTACGTAGAGGATAATAGGTTATGGGGGGAATCAATAATAAATAAATCTAGCCAAGTATCAGTGGATTGAGTGTGATGTGTGGGTTGAAAGGGTACAATAAATAGATCTAAGGAAAAAACTAGGTCGGTAAGATATGTTCTGTCCGGAGTATTTGATAGGAGGTTGGTGTTGAGATCACCAGCAATAATAATATTTTCGTAGAGAGGAATATATGTAAGGAGAGAGGATTCGAGAGTGGGATCGAATCGGACACGAGGAGGTCGGTAAATAACGATAAAGAGTAGAGAAAAGGTACTAAAGGAAACCTGGACAAACAGATATTCAATGTTAGGGATGTCTGAAGGAGATTTTAGAAGGACTTTGGCCGTCAAACTGTCATGTACGAACAATCCCACACCTCCACCTGTTCGTTCCATTCGATCATGACGGAAGAGGGTATAGTTGGGTAAGGAAACGGATAGAGAGGCAATATCAGGTTTGAGCCAAGTTTCAGGCACGGCTATGGTATGATGG